TATTATTATTATTATTATTATTATTATTATTATTATTATTATTATTATTTATTGTTGCTATTAGGTAAAATATATTTTTTTATAACAAAGGTAACTTTAAAAATATAATCACATATTGAAATATATTTATATTAACTGTATAAGGCATACATCTAAAATGCAAAATCGTGCTCTACACACTGGACAAGTACATTTAGATGATAACCACGTTTCAGGTGCATCTTCATCTTGTCTTGATGCAAACCTATAAAAAAAGATGTTTAATAATATATATTTGAAAAAATTATAAATATGATGAACTAACCATTTTGCCATACAATCTATACACCACATTGGGCGACAATAACATATCATACAGTCTTCAGAATTTCCACTTCCTATACCACTACTACATTGTTTATGTAATTTTACATTTGACGAAGCTTGCATACATCCTATACATTGATTTAATTCCTTTAAATATTTTTATATTACAATTAGTTCATTCATACAAATGAAATATTGAATTTATAAAATAAATAAAATATATACACCTCTGCATATTCATAACGTGGATTTTCTTGTACTTGTTGTTTAAAATTATCAATGAATTTATCAAGTAAAGTTTTATGAAATGTTATATTTTGTAATATAACAATTGGACGGGAAACTTTATCTTGTAGATTTTTAAAATCAAATACATTTAATCGTATATCAAATGGTTGTGATCCTGCTCTAGTAGGTTTTACCTATAGCAATAAAACTAATTAATGAAAGTTTAAAAACTTAATGAAAAATTATAGTTTCTTCTAAAAAAAAAGATTAATTTAGAATGATAAAATGTACCTCTATATTGATAAACTGAACTTCTCCTCTTGTCATAGGTGACATTTCATGAATATCACTTCTGTTAACTATTAAAGCTGTATCATTCTGATGAGCAACCATTATTTTATAAGGTAGAACTTTAATTATCCAATTATCAGTGACTATTACACATGTTATACTATTTGTCGTAAGTATTACTTTATCTATTCTAAAATAAAGTATTAATGATTTAATCAGTTTTAGAAATAATATATCACAGAAACAGAGTTCTTGATATAATATATAACCTTTGATATTCTACATTAATGTCAGAAGCTACTGTAGTCCACAGTATGTTGTTATTATTATTATTGTTACTGCTGTTACAATAAACTGCAAGATTCTTTGCTATAGGATGTTTTTTCCAATTATTCATTGACCATATTAAAATTTTAGATAAAGTATATATCGGCATCAATATAGAACAAGCAAGAAATATTGACCATAAATTGACATAACTTAATAATACATTGATATTGTCTATGTGTCCAAACAGAATTAAACCAAAAGCATATCCTGATTAAAAGAAAGATTCATTTTAATATGTAATATAATAACATTTAATATGTAATATAACAACAAGAAAAAATATATTTACCACAGGGCAGTACAGAGTGTACAAATAATGTAATAACACTTCTTTTTATATGATATTGTACAAAAAATTCATTTTCACTGCCTAACCAATTTGAAAATATGTCTTTTATTGTTAAACCGACTGATACAAATTCTGTAGGTGGATATATAATACATCCTGACATTAGAATATAAAACAAAGTATAGTAGAAAAAGGCAGACATCTTTTACAAAAATATATTTCCAATTGTATATTTTTAACTTTCGCTTGATGTTTACAAACTTTTATATAAATATATATATATATATATTTTTACATTTAATGATTAAGCACTTTATCAACAATATTCAAAATACACTACATAATAGGTTAGATGTTACTATTATGACGAATCCTTATGAAATTTGTTATCTTTCACAATATGTTTTTATGCATATTTTTCATTACATAAGAATTACAAAAATGTTTTACATTTTTTTCTTTTGTACATTTTGAAGATGATTACTGTATGAATTGTATTGCAACAAATAAAATGAAAATAATTCTTTTAGAATATTACGTGAAAATCAGCCTGTAATTAGTTCTATATGCGTTATAAATATATAGTCAATAGTTTATGACAATTCGTACGTTGCCTTTTGTTGTTATGAAAAATATGTATATTTGTGAGCGTGTATATTTATAATTATATTTGCAATTATTAAATAATGATAATATATAGAATGTAACATTAAAACAATATGATAAATACAATCTTTTCTGTAATTGTAAGTAATAAACAATAAGCTTTATAAATTCATTGTTTATATTTACATAAGATCATTATATTCTCATACTCATACTAAAACATAAAAAATTATTTATTTATATAGATGAAAATGATATTGCAAAGATTTGAAATATTGAATTTTGTTGAAATATATGACATGATAATTGTATTAACATTTATTTTTAATGTTCATATTTATGATATTCATTTTAAAAAGTAACTTATTAACTTCAACTTTTTCATTAATTAAAATTGATATTCTTCAGGCAAAAATCTGTCTTTTTCAAAAATGAGAGCTATTTTGATGTTTTTAATTTTAATTCAAACAAAAGGGAAAACAATTCAGACTTGTCCAAAGTATTGCACGTGTAAACTTGGTGCACAAGCTGAGTGGTTACGTATCAAATGCAGTAATGAATTACAGAATATTAGAGATATTAATATCAACAGTGTCAGTGTGGAATTAGTTCAATTGTAAGAATATTACACTATTATAAGTTGTTTTGCAACAAATCTTTTTATTCATGATATTTTCATTATGCTTAATATATTTCAGAGATTTAAGTAAAAATAACATTTATACTATTGAAGCTAATATATTTAAGAATCTGACAAATTTGAAACGTTTAAATTTGTCACAAAACTATATAACTTCTATTAATGCAGAATCTTTTAATGGTCTCGGAAATTTAGAAAGACTGTAAGAATATTAATGTATTAATTAATATATTATTAAATGTATTAATCTTACAAATATGTTTAATTTTTATTTAGGGATTTAAGTAAAAATCAAATCTCAACTATAGATGCTTATACATTTAGAAAGTTGCCAAATTTGAAAAGACTGTAAGTTTATAATAGTAAAATATATTGACATATATATATTTTTACGTACATTCTTTTTTCTTATATATTATTTATTTGATTATTAGTGATTTGTCTGGCAACAACATAAGTATGGTGAAACCATCATTATTTCATGATTTAGTGGCTTTAGAACGCTTGTAAGTGAATCTCTAATTTCAATTTTTTATTTACTTTCTTTGCATTTATTTTGCTTATTACAAATACATACTATCTACAGTATAAATAAAAAATGAATCTATATATATATATATATATATATATTATATTATAGGAAATTAAATGAAAATAAATTAACAACTTTAATGGAAGGTACTTTTCTTGGCCTAAATTCTTTAAAACAGTTGTAAGTAAGTTAAATATAATGTATACATACATATATATGAAATAAGATTATTCAAATTTCAATTTATGTTTTAGAGATTTGTCTAATAATCCATGGAGATGTGATTGTGAATTGTATTGGTTTAGTAATTGGATTCACAACAGTTCTATTAAACTAAAGTAATACATTTTATAAATATAAAAATAAAAATTTGATATAATTTTTAACAAGTTTTGAAATATTTCAGTCCTGCCCCCAAATGTGCATCACCTGTAAATATTAAAGGTGAATTTGTAAAAAAATTGAAATATTCAGAAAATATTCAGTGTCAGTTGTTACCCCCTACAATTGAACTTCGACCAATTCATAATCAAGTAGTATTTGCTGGAGATTCTATAACTTTAAAATGCAGAGCACCTAGTATAACAGATGATAGAAATGCAAAATTAAGTTGGTTATGGTATCCTAATACTACTACTGAAAATGCAGATTTAAATGCATTTTTAGATCCACAAAAAAGTTTATCTAATATTAAAGTTGATAACAGATATCTTGCAGATAGTGGCATTGTGGACAGGTATTTTAGCATTTAATAAATATAAAATAATATATAAGTATATAAAAGTATAAAAAATATATAATTAAAGCATATATATAATTTTTGTAGTTCTCTTAGTATTGTTCCTATTAAAGAAGAACACAATGGTCAATGGAACTGTTTATTAGTTTCTATAAATGGTAATAGAACAAAAGCAATCAGTGTAATTGTTATCTCTGAAGAAACTCGTTACTGTCCTCTAGCAGGTAAATTATATACTTTAAACTATGCATTAAATTTCAAACTATTTAATAAATTATTATGTTATAGTAACTAAAAATAATAAAGGTATTTATACATGGCCAAAAACTGTAGTAGGATGGAGAGCAGAATTACCATGTGAAGGCAACCATTTATCAGGTTTGATGCAAAGGCCTTTAAAAGCTTCCTATCAGTGTAATATTACAGGATATTGGGAGAATTTAAACACAGAATTATGTCCTTACATATCACATATAACAAAAAGCTTAGAACAATTTTCTAAAGTTAATCTTTCTCTTACAAGAATCAATTTATTAGAAAGTGCGAAGAAATTTAAAAATTTTACAGGAACTTCCATAAAAATAACTGATCCTATTGAAGTAGATTTCATAACTCAAACTATAGAAAATTATTTAAATTTTCTAATTGAAGGAAAAGAACTTGGTACTACATTAATCGATGTCATCAATACTCTGATTAATGTACCAAAGAATATTTTAAAGAAAGCTGAAGTTTCTTTTAAATCTTGTACGCGACTAATAAAAGCTGTAGAAAAGATAATAGAGCATACTCCATCTATACAATTTTACAAGAAAAATATGGCACTAGAAGAATTCAGAGTGAAACGTGATAGTTTCACAGGATTAATATGTACATGGTATTCAAATAATAATCCAGAAACACGATTTTTACAATGTACAACAAACAATAGAACATCTCCCATTAATATAAAAGATAGAACAATTGAAGCATCAATACATTTACCTGCATCTTTATTACAATATTCACAAGAAGTTACTGCTCATCAATTAATGATTTCTGTATATAGTAATAATAGACTATTTCCTAAAATAATCAATAGTGATAATATGGATGTAGCATCCTGTGTTATTGGAAGCAAATTATGTATGTAATTATAAATAAATGTCAAAAATATTTATTAAAACTGAAAGTAATACAGTAATATGAATTTTCTTTTAGATGGGATGTCAGTACAAAATTTAACTGAACCTGTATACATTATGTTAAAGACACCTTTGTACTATTATGCTGGGAAGAAATTATTACCAGTAGTTTGGGATGATACGTTAAATAAATCAGGAGGTTGGACAAATGATGGTTGCTATTTAAGAAATGTATTGAACAATTTAATAATATTTCATTGTAATAGATTGGGATATTATGGTCTTTTACAAGATATTTCTACACTTGATCATGATGGTAACAGGTAAGTGATTTAGTAAATTTTTCTGTCTATAAATTAATTTTTAATACTTCTGTTTTTAGTATAAGTGGTGCAAAATTTAGATATTCAAATCCTGCAATATATATTGGAAGTATTGCAACAATAACATGTTTAATTATTATGTGTATAACATATATTATTTGTTACACATCAATTACAATGCCTAAAAAAGCAAAACATTGCGTTATTAATACTTGGTTTGCTATGGCATTATTATCATTTTTTTATAGTATTGGTATTTACCAAACAGAAAATATACCAATTTGTCAAGGTGTTGGTCTTATTCTGCATTATTTGTCTTTATGTTGTTTGTTATGGATGGCAGTGTTTGCAAGGTAATCATTTTTTATATTTTATGAAATCAATATACATGTATGATTAATAAATATTAAAAAATTAATTTGTTCACAGCAACATGTATAAAAAATTATCCAAATCAGATCTCGAAGAAGATATTCCAGATAATGATCTTCAAGATCCACCAATGCCAAAACCATTATTAGGACTTTATTTAGTTGGCTGGGGTATAGCTATGATCATTTGTGGTATATCTGGCGCAATAAATCTACGAGAATACGCTGGATATTCATATTGTTTTCTCACATCCGCTCCTGCTCTTGTTGCTTTGTTCGTTCCAGCTGGATTTCTAATTGTATATTTATTTATTTTTCATTTACTCATTAAATGTTCAATTCAAAATGTTGACATGAATGCTCAGTTGTCTGAAGGTACACAAGCAACAGAAAATATGGATTTGGAATTATTGGAACCAAGTACAAATATTTCTATTGGCAGAAATAGTGCACATAGTGTACAAACCATATTATCTGATATTGAAGATTCAGAACATTCTCAAATTACTCAATTGAAAGGTCAAATTATTATATTAACTTTATATTTGATATCATGGATTACTGCAGCAGCAGCTACAACAAAGTCGTTAAATACGTATATTTCATTTGATGAAACTATATTTGCTATTTTATATTCACTTTTTTCTAGTTCACTTGGAATTTTCATTCTTTTCTTTTATGGAATTGCACGAAGTGATGTTAGATCACAATGGTTAAAAATGGGTTGTTGGTTTCAGAAACGGAAAAATCAATGTTGTCGAACAAGAAGTATTTCTGATGCAAATCCTGTAATAACAACACAATCTTTAGTACAAAATTTGGTAGCTCCAATGTCTAATTCTCAAGCTACTCAAGTTACATCTGATTCAAATTCCATTAGCTCATCCAGATACACCAATAGATCACAAACATATAATGCATTTAAAGTTACAGATATTGTAACCAATCAAAAAGTATCGCCTATTGGTAGAAAAATGACCAATATGAATTTAGTTGTATTACACCGACAACAATACAGATCTGACAATTCTGTAACAACATATATTGAACCCACTTGTGTTGAAATGTTTTATAATCCTCATCAAAGTGGAGTTGCTAGAAAATTTTTTAGAAAACAACGTCGTCATACAAAAAATAGTAATCTTGGTCCTCGAAAACAAGGTGATGGTGGTGCTATGAGTGATGCTGGTAGTTGCATTTCTGTATCACGATCGACCACAAAATTAGAAAGTAATATAGATCAAACTATCTTAAGTAGCAGTGCAAAAGTGAATAATACAAACATCCATGTTGAATTAAATCCAATAAATGACGTTAAAAATGTTAATATACTCTCAGATAGTGGTGGTAGTATTTCAGAGGAAAGAAATGTTCCAATGCGATTTGTTATTGGCCAAGAAGATTTTTTTCGAAATGTAAGAAAAGTTAATAATAATTGTAGATTACACGAGTCTATAAACACAGTATCTAACTCTGCAAGAAACAATTGCCAAAAAATAGAATTATTGAATATAACTTTACATGAATCAGACATGGAAATCAAAACTGATGAAGAAAAGCATTTGCAGAGTGTTTCACAACAATGTAGTTTAGAATACAGTTCGGAAATAGAATCTATTACTCAGATGACTAGTGAAAAAAGTGATCATAATTTACCAGAAATTTATGAAACTGTAGAAACAATTATGGAAGCTAATCTTTTAAAAAAAGATTGTCAAAATATGAATGAATTCCATGAAGTAGAGGAACGCCAATCAAATGCCACTTTAAAATGGTTAACTCATTCTAATAGCATGCACTGTCTTCCAATAAATACCGTAAAACCACTAAGAAATAATTATTGTAATTCATTAAATGATATTGCATCTCTTGCCAGTTACAAAAAGTGTGAATATTTGAAATCATTTACAGACGTGCAAAATATTACAAGTTCGAATTTATGCAATAAAAATTCCCTTTCTGAAAAATCATTTAGTAAATTAGAACTATCTTTCTCTAAAGTGAATAGTGCAGTTAAAGATAATTTACATAATTTAGTACAGAATATTACTTCAACAAGAAATATTGAATGTGCCTCTAATGTGTGCACTGATGAATTGAAATCCAAGCAAAAATGTATCAATTCTATGATTGATATGACATCATTTATGCATAGTTCTTGCAATATAGTAAGAAATTTAGATTCAAACAATGAGATAGAAAGTTTAAGTAAACAACAAAATATACAGCACATTGAAGGTAGTGAAGCACACTTAAATAATCCAAATACTTATCTACAAATAGTCAAAAAAGAAACAAGCGTTTAATCTAGTTTTGCTTATACAGAGCATAATATATCAATAAAAATTTCATCTAAAGAATAAAATAATTTTTGGAAATTTACATTTTTATAATATTCAAAAAAATACTTATTAATTTTGTTTTATTAATTTGTCTACAAACATAGTTCCTATATATGAAAAAAATCATTCTTTTTTATTAAACTGTTTTATCTTTTTTTTACATTGCATTAATCTTTTCACCTTTTTTAGCATGTCAAATATTGTCAAATATTTTTAATATATTTTTATTCATATAAATATATGAAACACTTATTAAACTATTTGTTGGATATGTATTTATTCAAAGAAAATTGTACATAATTAATACAAACAAATTTAATATTTTTGTGCATTCTAAAAAAATTCATTTTTCTTTTGTATATACGTTGTTCTGCAAAAAAAGTGCTCAAAAATCATAATAGCTACGAAATCATAATATTTAATGGTATTTCATTCATATATCATTTAGAAATAAAGAATATTTTATATTCAATTTAATTGAATTTCTACCAATGATTTTAAATATAAATTATAAATAAAGTTTCATTATTATTTTTATAATTGCATATATAATTTATAAAATATGCTCTAAGACTGAATATTTTATTAAATATTTTATTAAATATGAAAGTACATTAAATTTATTATTATCGTTTGTTTTTTTGCACGTGTAAAATTATTTTGTAAAGATAAATAATTATTACATATTTGAGATATACAATATATAAAATAATAATAAAAGATATAATGCACACACAAGTACGTAAATTACATACAGTGTAATGTATAAGGATATTACTTTTATATAAAATATATCTATAGGTACACTTTTTGTACATAATTTATAGTTTATACAGTATTTAATTCCTTAAATATAAAGTTTATATATGTAACTCTTTTCTTATATTTGAAAATATATTTAAATGTTATAGATAAATTCATATCCTTTTTCATTAACATCCCACTTAAAAATAAACAAAAAAAAAGAAAAGTAATTAAATACACCAATCAAAATTATTATTATAAATTATAATTTTAAGTTAGAAAATAATGGTTTCATTAAAAGATATTATTCATATTAATGTAACCACTCTTTAGGATTTTTCAATACATCAACTAATTCTGCTTCCTTTGAATTAGGTGTTGGTTCATGCATATATTTCCAATTTGCAGATAAAGGCAAAGACATTAATATACTTTCATATCTTGCACCAGGTGTATATAAGCCAAATTTTGTACCACGATCATATATTAAATTAAATTCAACATATCTTCCTCTACGTAACAATTGCCACTGTCTTTCTTTATATCCATATCCATCATCTTTGTGTTGTTTAACTAATGGAATGTAAGAAGGAATAACAGCTTCTGCGCAAGACTTTATGAATTGAAATGTTTCTTCTTGGCTAGGAGTATCAATGTCATCAAAGAAGATACCACCTACTCCTCTACGTTCTCCTCTATGTCTAATGAAAAAGTAATCATCACACCATTTTTTGAATTTTGAATAATATGAAGGATCATGTTTGTCGCAGGCAGCTTTTAAAGTACCATGAAAATGTTTCACATCATCTTCATTTAAGTAATAAGGTGTAAGATCTGTACCACCTCCAAACCACCACTGAATTGAACCATCTGGATTTTCAACTTCAAAGTAACGATAGTTGAAATGTACTGTTGGAACCATGGGATTTCGAGGATGAATTACAGCACTTACACCAGCTGCAAAAAATGGCATAGATCCTTCTTGTAGTTGTTTTCCCCGTGCTCTCATCTGTTGTACAGCAGCTGGTGGTAATGTGCCAGTAACAACAGACACATTTACACCTGCTTTTTCAAATACAACTCCATCTTGTAAAACACAAGTAACTCCTCCTCCACCTTCTTTTCTAATCCATCTATCAACTTTAAAAGAATAATCTGGATCTTCTAAGGATTCCAAAGCTTTACAAAACTCTGCCTGAGTTTTCATTATTAACAATTCCATTTTTGTTTTCATGTCATTTCTCTTCTTTAACTTGCTTATGTCAGTAATAGGTTCTGCCATGAATTTTTTAATATCCAATTCATTTTGTGCTGCAAATACTGTAATTCCTGAAGTATTATAAACCATAATGCTTGTAAATATACCAAAACCAATATACTTGATATTTTTTGCTTTATTTTGAACGCTATAATGTTTATGAAAAAAGTGGCGTAAAAAGACCCAATTTTTTAATAACGTTCGTGGAACCATAGTTATCTGCAATTAATTAATTAAATTTTATATTCATAAATTACCGACTGAAAAGGTTAATTTATATGTTTTATTTAAAAGTACATCATTTAAAGAAATATTAAAGTGAATAATGAAAATTTGATTTTTAAATAATGAAATTTTCATTTCAATGAATAAATGAATTTTTCAAAACTTCTCGTTATATTTTAAATGAATTTAAAGTTATAGTATACAACAGTCTAGAAGTTTTAATAATTTAAATTTACATTACAAATGAAAGAAAAACTTAAATCATAAAATGATATAAAATATTGTAAAATATTATTACTTAAAGTTCTTTAGATGTGAAGAATAACAAGTGTGTCTTTTATCAAATTACAAATGATTGCACTATGTGAGAATAGGAAATATATTATTTTACAAGTAATGTTATAATTAATTGATAACGTGATTATCTACTCAGTTTAAGATACTTTAAAGTAATTTTGAGACGAAATAAGTATTTATAAATGCTATACGCATTAAGAAAAGAAAAATTTGTATGACAGGTTAACTAGTAACACAGGGGTAACACTAAATGCATATATTTTAGTTAATATTATTAGATTTCCAAAATGTGGCTCAAAAAACAATTTAATCAATTGCTTAAATATCCTCAACTTTGCACAAGGATTTCGGTATGTTATTGCTTTTGTTTACAAATATATATAATATAGAAAATATCTTTTCTTCTTATTATATATATATATAATAATAATAATATAATTGACACATATATATTTTATCTTTACAGTTTAGAAAACAATCAACACAATATAATGCAGACACAATACCGCATATTCCAAAACCTGAATATGATATTAATTTCTTGTGTAATCCATCTAATCGAGACACAATTTTTAATAATATAAAGGCAAGAAAAACTGTTGGAGATATCGATAAAGTCCTTGAGCTTTCAGGGAAACCAGAATTAAAAAAGTCTTTTTTGTATGAGTTAAACAAAATACCAAATCAAACAGATCCAAGAGTATTAACTTATGGTGAACCACAAATTTTAAAACAATGTGGACATGAACCAGAATTTGATTTTAAGCCACAACAATTCTCAACATTAGCTACAAATTTAAATGCATTTAAAAGTCAACTATTGGGACCTTTAATTGGAACACGAGGTTACTTGTTCTTAGGAGATCTAGCACAACTAGAAGAAGCATTAATTCATTTTACAGTCAAAAAGTTAATGAAGCACGGTTTTAAACTTGTTTCTGTACCTGATATTATTCCTACTGAAGTTATAGAAAGATGTGGATTAATAACAGATAATGGAAGACATCTTGTATATAATTTAAGTCCTTTTTATGAAGGAGATTATAGTTTATCTGGAACTGCAGAAATGTCCTTAGCTTATAAAGTAATGAATACTTTATTTGATTCAAAAGATTTACCATTGAAAATGGCTGCTGTAAGCAGGTGTTTTAGGGCAGAAATATCTAATCTCATCCATGAAAAAAATTTATACAGGTAAGAAAATATTGTGTTAATCTATCTGTATTTAATTTATATTTGTGTTTAATTTATATCACTTAAATGTTTTTAATATGTAATTTTATCTGTTTACATTAAGAGTTCATCAATTTACCAAAGTTGAAATGTTTGTATGTTCAAAACACGAAGAATCTGAAGAGCAATTTCAAGAACTTTTGAGTATTCAAGAAGATTTATTTTCTTCTTTGAATTTATATCTTCGAATAATTGATATGCCACCTCACGATTTAGGATCTCCAGCATATAGGTATAGCAGCATATAGTAACAATAAAACTCTGTTTATATGAAAAGAACTCTGTTTATATTTGTCAAAAGAAAAATAATTTATTTAAGAGGAATGAATTGATTCTGTCCACTACGTACATTTAGGAGTTTACATTTAAACAATGAATTCAATAAGTTTAATCGGATAAATTTTAATTCAAATAAATGGAGTTCTACTGTATAATTAATATTATATATTGAACTATTTTTTTAATATTTTTATAATTATAATTTATACATATATATTTAGGAAAATAGATATAGAAGGATGGATGCCTGGAAGAAAATTATATGGAGAATTATCTAGCTGTAGCAATTGTACAGATTATCAGTCACGACGGCTTGGCATAAAATATAAAACAAAAAATGGAGAAACTTTACATGTTCATACATTAAATGGAACTGCATGCGCTATACCTCGTATGTTAATTGCACTTTGTGAAACACATCAAACGAAACATAATCGTATTAAAGTCCCTGAAATTTTACTACCTTATATGACAGGAAAGACACTTATTAAAAAACAACCAATTGCCAATATGAAACTCTTTAAGTACAGACCACAAATCTAATACAATATCTAACATTCTTTAGTGAAATTTAAAAACAAAAGTAATAATTATTTTTTTATTAGTTTCGTTATTTGTATATATTGTATATTTATGTTATTTGAATTTATTTGTAATTTATATCAAAATAAATTATTTATTTGTTATATATAGAATTTTTTATTTATAATAGGTATATAAAAATAAAAAGAAATAAAACATTGCTCCCAATTATATGTATTAAAAAATTTTTCTTAGTTAATTTTTAGAAACATTATTTTCACATTAATTTGTTTCTAATCATAAAATATTTATATCATTACTATTGTAATTAATATTACAGGAAATCAAATAGGATTCATAAAAAATTCGAATATTAAACACCACCTGACAATATATTTTCTAAAAACTAGTACAATATCATACAAAGAATGTGGGTTTGAAAATTATACATACACAGGGATAAAGATCTTTTCTTCATTAACTTGTTATTCTGTATATATTTTATAGCGGTGTTATAAAAATGTAACACAAAATATTTTTCCTTAAAGTAATACAATTTAAAGACACTGTAAATTTTACAATTTATCTCCTTCGCTAATTAGATGTAATGTTTTTTTTATTCATTAACAATTAAAAAATTGCATGTACCTGTCTTGATATAGTGTGTCTCAGAATGATACAAACTTTATTTTTTCAAAATTTCTATTTACCAATATAATCCAATTGCTGTTCATATTTTGATCCATTTCAAAACTTTGGATAAAATCCAAATATATTATTTTTTGATAATGAAGCTTATATTATTCTGAAATATAAAAATAATATAAAGTTAAAAACAAAGCTGTAAAACATTGGTTAAACATACTTTTGTATTTTTAATCTTCTTCTTCTCCTGATTCAGATTCTTCTTCTGCATTCTGTAACCATTCAACGAATTTTTTCATTTGATCTAAGAATAGCATTTTTCCTTTAACAGAATGGCCTTCCTTATACCATTTCAAAATTACTTCTTCTGATATTACATCCGCTAAAATAAAATACGTTGAATAAGAAAAAAAAAAAAATAAAGAAATGATAATAAATCTACATACTTATTAGAATTATAAACATACTTTTATAAAATAGTAAAACAATTTTCTGGAAGACTTTCATAAAGTTCATATTCTCATAACAAAATTCCTGGACCTTGAGAATAAGCGCAAGCTCAGATCTGGCAGTGGTTGTAAAAGCATCAAATAGTGGAGTGTATACTTTTAAGTGTTTCAGTGCTTGATCAGCTACCAATTCTTCTTTTTTATTCCATTCAGCTTGACCCATTACTACAACCCAAATCTATAAACAATTGTTAACATTTTTGTTCAATTTTAATGTTACAATGTAGTATAATAACAATAGTTATAAAATAATTACCAGGCCAATAACTTCATGCTCCGGAATACCACTCTTTTGTGCCATTTCTTTGAGATCAAGTATAATGTCTTTCAAAGGACGATTATCCGCCAAGTCATCCAATAATAATTGTTGCAGATCTCGTTTTGCTTCTTGGCTTGCTTGAGCTTTATGCAATTTTACAATGTCTGCAAGACCAACAGCTTCAAATACAGATCGAAAATACTCTTCAGTTCGTTTATTAGGCGGTACAAATTCCATTAACCTGTTGATCAGTATTAAAAAAAAGAAAAAAGCGAGAATAAAACAAAAAAACTTGATACAACAATAGATACAACACTAGATTTTCTCATACCTTCCTTCAATATTCCCTTTTTTCAAAGCAGTCATTAAACTTGATAGACCTTTCTCTTGCCTCCAAGTCACAAAAACTTCTAATAGAAAATCTAACGCTAAGTTATCTTTAACCAGATGTTCATTAATTAAAACTGATAAAACAGTGGGTGGAACAGAACCATTGGATATCCATAGAGCTGTCATTCTAGCTAATTTTATTCTTTCCTTAGGAGTAAAGCCTTTCATAAAAACCAATACTTTTTTCATCTCCTCCTCAAACATCTTCTCCAAATATTTATAACGTCTCATAAGTTTAATGAAAACCTATAAGATTATTTTCAAGGTCATTATTGAAGATCATATGATGAAAGTTTAATATAGATTTTTTAAACATATGTAAAATAGGATATATCACTTGTTCAAAATTTCGCATGGATTCCATATCTTCCGGTTGTTCAAAAACACAAGCGGTGGTTTTAACTGGTTTATCACCATCTTGAGCAATAGAACCGCCTGGAACCAAAAGTCCACCAGCTATTAAGATGTCAAACAGGTCTTCTCCATATCTGCGGTAATCTAATTTAGAGCCAGCTGCATCCAAGTACTTTGAAATTGCATCTAAGTCGTTACCAGCCTTTTCCAAACCAAGTAAAATTGCATCTCGAAATCCCATAGGGTCATATTTTTCTTTTTCATCTAAAAGGACATATTATTACAATTAAATATATTATTTAAGAAATCCTATGTTTTCTCGAGCATACCTCTTTTTCTGGTCTTTATGCGTTGACCTGATAATATTGGTTTTTCTATTTTTTGACTCATACAATACCTTTCTGAAATGATAAAAATTTCAATAAGTTTTGTCAATTTTTTAATAAATTATAGAAAATTATATTACAGAAATTATATGTTATGATTTATATATGTATGTAATATATATATACATATACATACAAAGTATTGTTGCCTTATGCATTACCATTCATAAATTTTGAAAATTACCTCTTTTACAAAAATTTCTTTAATATTTATTTGTATAAAAGGGCAACAATTTAACAAGGTTAAATCGGAACTACAGTGCGACCATAATGAGCTGGCATTTGACTTTAAATCTGTTGGCACTTCTTTGACAAATGGCGACTTTCATTAAATATATTCTATTACGTCAAAAATTTCTACTTATAAATAATAAAGCTTAATAGCATTTAAATATATATATTAAAAAATTATATATTTCAGTTAGTTTATTACTTCTAAGGTTAAGGTCGCATAATGGAACCACGATGGTTGAAATTTGTACGAACGATGAATCTTTGTAATAGTCAGGTTATACGAAAAGCGACTGAGTGTTGTTTAGATTTTAATGACTTTTACTTTTTAACTTACTTAGATGCACGTACAACTGTAGAATTACCCCTTTTCAGGTGTATAAGGGCAATACGAAATATCTCAAAAAAGATTTTGAGCACTTGAGATCAGCGAAACCGAAGAGAATCAACTTGAAGAGAAGCCACAATTGACAGAGAATAGATAGGACACTTAGATTTGTATTTCGTAATGCGTTTCTAACGCCATCTAAACGATTCAAAACATAGTATTGAGAATAAAGTTTTCGTAGTGACATCTATTAAGGTAAAGTATATATATAATGACCATTGACTAAATGATGACATCAATTTTAAGAATTGTATAGGATCATTGATGATAAAGTTAAAAACGAATATAAATAAAATAATAAATATATTCATGTCGAGAAAAATTGCGGGTACTACAGTTTCGTAGTGTCAATGCAACGAGCTACCACTGCATTTAGGGAATATTTCGAAGAGAATAGTTTGAAAAGATCAATGTAATTTTTTTTAAAAATGAACAATTTTCAAGATATTTGCAAAAAAGTATTGATACTTATTTATTGATAATTATTACGGTGAATTGCTTAAATATATGTGACACAATCACAAGCAAAATTGACACCGTCGCTGACTGAATAATTTGTTTAAATCTATTAACCAATTATGAATAACAAAAGATAAACATTAGATTTGAGATAGATTTTATTTTATCCAGTTGCGTAAGATCCTGACTGCATATGTTTACAAATATTTCGAAAACTGTGAAGATTCTCATTTTCGACTTTAATTCGACAAAACACTCCAAATGATTTATCCAGATCAATAATTTTACTTTTTGATTATTGTAGTATATACATGACGAAAAAGATTTATTTAGTTTATATATACGAGGTTCTACAGTCAAAATTATAATATATTCAAAGTAATTGTAGTATATTTATTTTTAGAAAATTTCAAGACCATACAGAAATTTTGATGTATAACAAAACAATTACTTGTATTTCTTAATCTATTAAGTACTCAGTTGCAAATGCTTATGGATTATTAATAAACTATATAGATTTTGTTACATATTTGATATAGTTTAGCATTTAACTTTTACTTTTTTATATTTTTTATAGTTATTTTTTTAGTTTTTTATCATTTATATAAAATTAATTATTTTTAAATAATTATTTAATATTTTAAATGTTTCTTTTTTTTATATATAATGGAACATGTTAAAACTATTTTATTTACCTGATACTCACTACAATCTGATACAATGACATAATTAAAACACATATTCACAATTATCAATAAACATTTCATAGTTTCGATGAATGTGTTCCTTTCCTTGGTATATCGCTGAATGGTTTCAATAATGGATATAAACACTGGCTAATTTTAAATGACAAAATATCATCAATTTTTTTCTGTTCGGCAGTATTTGTTTCATTCGATGATGAAATATCTTCGTTAGATTCTATTATATCTTCTATTATATCTTCATCTTCTAATTTTGATTCTTTTAATGTAGAAAGTACATGTACTGATAACTTGCGTTGAACATCATTTTGAAATATTTCCTGCAAAAACATTTAAATTTTATACACTCGTATTAACGTTTGTAATACGAATTAATGTTTATTTAAATAATGTAATTATGTGTATACTTTGTAAAACTTTAATATTTGTTCCTGTGTTATAGTTCTTAAATATGCAACTTCAATATTTGCTCGATCGAAATTATATTGTTGTGATGTAATTTCACTCCAAAATATGGCAGATAAAGCAGTCATTTGTTTAGGTTTTTCAAGTCGTCGTATTGCTAATGATTCTTTATGTGCATGAAATTCTTCTTCTGTCATAGTTAATATATGTTGCTGAAATGAATTAACTTTGTATGAAAATTTTAAATTCAAACATATCTAGCAATACTTAAATTTTAATTACTAACCAACATAGAATTTAAAAACATATTAATTCTCTGTTCAACATATTTAGGATGCCTGTCACTTTGAACTATAATTCTTAAACCTTGTGCACCATTTGTTCTTCGAACTCCACTAAATACTATATATCCCAATTGTTCTTTAGTTCTTAATGTAGTAAAACAAGGTTCTGATAGAATCTGTGCTAAAAGTTCTAGGAGCATATTTGATTCTGTTGATTGTAAGCCCGTTTGATAATAAACTTGCGTACATGAACTACTATGAAATTTAGTTTTTGTTTCAAATAAAAATTGACAACCTAAAAAGATAAAATATTAATTTTTCTTTCTTTTTTTAAATATTATTTAAAAATTTTTAACGTTAAATATACCATCTTCTAGTTTGATTTCACGATGTAAAATTAACTGCCTAGATAGAAGTGGTACCATATGAGGAACTGCATTCGATAATTTTGATTCTATTGATTTTGCTGTTTCGATAGCTTCTGACATTGTTATATTACCATGCATTAAACATTCCATGTGTATTTTGCTCAAAAATTGTGGAATGAAATTTTGTACTTTTTCAACTGTTAAGTCTACAAATTGAATTGTAAAAATTATAATATATATAATTAATATGTATAATATATATAATATATATAATTAATAAATTATAAAATTTATTTCTTATAGATTTATTTATTGATTAAATAATTAAATTTTGTGTAAACTTACGAGATGTAGCATTTAGTAATTCATCCTTCCTCCAAATTTGTTCTGACAATAAAACAGCAAGATAATAAACTGCATGCTGATATGGTTGTTCAGCTTTATAGTTTTTTAAGCTTCTAATGTACTAGAATTAAGATGAAAATTAATAATAAATATAACAATATACATAAAAAATTAAGTAACACATACATTTTCTTTCCAAATCTCAAATCTTTTTGGATCAACTTTAAAATTAATCATTTTGTCTATAATTTTATTCAGTAACACATGTTGTTTATCATCATAGCCAACAATTCCCAACTAAAAAATATATATATTATATAATTTTGAAAATTAAATTTATATGTATTACATATAATAAGCTTTTACTTACTGTCATTCCATATTTACTATTAGTAAGCTCCCATTTAAGACCAACAATATCAGCAGCATATGCATATTCATTTAGAGCATCGCGGAACAACAATACAAATATATATGTTAGATTACAACTGAGAGGATCTATGTATGCTAATGGACTGTAATAAATTATATATATATAAACTAACAATATACTTATTGCTAATATAAATATAAATTAAGTAGGGGGATACAGTTTTAGAGTTACTTTTAGAATTACTATTCACTACAAATTCTTTCTTATTTATATTTTACCTGACAAAATCAATAAATAAATTAGCTTTGGGTATAAGAAATTCATCATCTTGTTTAAACCATAATCTTATTAATGAAGTGTCTTCAATAATTATTGGAAATTTGGATATCTAGAAATAGCGAAATTATTTTTTCACGACGTGCTTTATGTATATATAGAGTATAGAGCATATAAAGTACACATATAAAGTACATAAATTTACTCACAGTGCTTTCTGCTGGTTTTATATCAAATTTTTCAGGTATGAATTCATTCTTTGGTGGCAAATTCAAATCTGAATTTAAACCAGCATTAATCCATTTACTTATTATATTTTGAGATATTTTTTCTTTTTTAAATTTGACACCATACCACTTTTCACTTTCATCAGCTATATTTTCATATAATTTTGCAACTACATGAACTCTAACATTTTCCGGTTTTAAATATTCCATTACCCATGTAATTAAATCTGGTTTCCATAAGGGGAAAATATGTTCTGCTATTAAAATTTCTTCCATTGGATAATCATATAATATTTGTGCTATACCAGTGGTATAATCACAAGGATAACCTTTTTCCTTGAACCGAAAATTTATATTTGCAATGTCTCTATATTCCTTTAAAATAAAACATTAATTTTATTAAATATTGAACTTTTTATATTCATGATTAACATTTCACTAACGGAATGCATGTTTTCCTCTTTATTGATAAATATTTTATATGATTTATTATTTTTGTATATTAACAGATTTCTTTTAGATATTTACAAATATATATTTTAAAATATAGAAGTCATAATAATTTGTTAAAGACAATGTAACTTACATGTAGAATCGGATTTTCCTGTTAAGGAACATTAGCTTCTGATGGCGAAATGTTAATCTTTAAATCTATATTAGTAAATATAATAATTGATTTATGAATAATTACATTGTAAATCCACTCAACTGGTCCATGTTTCTTTAGCATGTTAATATATTGAAAAATTAATAGAACAATATCATCGACATGTTGAATACCTTCTTCTGTTAAGTCAACGAAAACAGCAAAGAAACTAAAACCTCTAGCACCTAACCGTTTACCTGATCCAAGCGAATTACACCATCCTTTTGCTTTTAATAAAGATAAAAGTGATCCTTCGCCTTCATGTCCTAATAAATGTGAAATATAATGTGCGGGCTGAAGAAATAAAAAATAGGTTAATAATTAAGAATAATAAATTAATATATTTAAAAAAGTAAGATAAACAGTTATTACCGCTGCTTTGTAATGTTCTCGCAAATCAGGTATAGGAAATATAATATACAAATTCCGAATGTCTTTTATTGGAACAACATACCACTTGTGTTGAAAATGTTGCTTCAGATTAAAAGGCTGTTGTGGCCAAGTAGGTACTGTAATATCTTTATTTTTTACTTGAGAAAATAACTCTACTACCATTTGTTCAAGTTCATCTAAACTCTCTAATTATAAAAAAAGAAAACATGAGTAAATAATATTTTTTATTCCATATTTAGTGGAGTAAATAACAAATAAAATACTTTACTTACCTTTGCCAAGTACACACAATGCCATAATATTAGAAGAATAAAATTTGTCATGAAATTCAAGTAATTTTTCTCTTACATTTATCCCTTTTTGTTTCGGAATTACATCTAAAGTTTCTTTATTTCCTGTAGAAAATTTTGAAAAAGGATGATTTGGGTCTGCTGATGATTTATCTAATTGATCAAGACGCCAAGTATCGTTTGCTAAATTTTTTTCACATTCCAAATGAACAGCATTTAATTCTAACTCCGTTAAAGCTTCTGTAAAGAGTGGTGCAATAAAAAATTGTGCAAAACGATCTAATGCACCTTTCAATTTTTCTGCATGTATATCAAAATAATAAAGTGTATGATCCATGTGAGTTGATGCATTATATGTGCCCCCATTTTGTGATAAATATTTATTATAATCATTTTTTTCTGGATATTTTTCTGTTCCTAAGAATAGCATATGTTCACAAAAATGTGCTAAACCTGGCAAATCATCTGGTTCACTTAAATTACCTACAAAGACAATATTAAAATAATAGCAATAATAGTATCACGTTCACAAAATTAAAAATATAATTATATACTTGATTTTACCAATATTCACATTCAAAGCAGCAGCACTTTTATCTGTTGAAGGATCACTAATAACTAAAACTTTCATTTTATTAAAAAGCAATAGACCTCTATACTCTCTTTTATCATTTGGTGATTTAATTATATTATCATATCGTTTTTCTATAAAATTATGAAGATCCATGTTTGATGTAGATACTTTAGAGGATTTGCACCTATGAATAAAAAAAATTACATATAATAATAAATAACTGTTAGTATTATTTGTTCAGAATCAAAACTAAATAAAAATATAATCAAACATTTACTTTTCTTCTTTTTATTTAAGAGACAAACAATGTTAATATATGAATAAATTTTTACTCAGCAATATAAACGTTAACAAAACACCAGAATTTAAAATTATAAAAAAACAGATATTATTCTAACTTACTAATATATGTATGTCTAGTAATTTTATTTATAATTTTCTTACAATGTTTCAAACACTGAAGTTCTAGGTTCTGTGTAACTTTTGATTACAAAACAATTTTTTTTTTAATAAAAAAAGTTGTTATAAATCACTAATCTAATTCTAAGTGATTTTTTAACGATCGATAACAAAATGTAATATTTAATATCAATGAAAATATTGTGTATACAAAGTTAAAATACAAGTAGTTAGGTTAGAATAAATATAAGAGTAACACAGAATTATAGTTCACAAAAATAATTTTTTGTATAAAAAATTAATTTCAATATTTTCATGTGAAACATATACTGATTATAAGATAACTATGATATAACATATATATATATATATATATATATATAAACTTCGAATTTATTGAATAACTAATAAATGCATTCTTTCCATTGTTTTACAAATTAGTAGATTCTATTTAAATAGATCATGATCAAATTATACTATGTAATGTTTCAAAAATATTGCATGCGTACCTGTAAACAGAAAAAGTGTGAATTGGCACATAAAATATACGAAATTTAAACATTTGTGCCAAAATCATATTTATTAAATTTTATATAAATTACTTTTCAAAAATAAAATTTTATTTAAACTCGTTATCATAATTACTTTATTATGTTTTGAAGTAAGTTGCAGTGAATATCTATAGTTAATTTTTATTTCGTAATAATATAATACAAACTATAACCGTTAAGAAAACGATTATAATTAACGATTGGTAAATGTATATATCTGTGATATAATATATATTTTTTTAATTGACAATAATTTAATTATTCCGATTTATAATTATATGGTATCGAACAAATATTAAGTAAGAATAGATGTATTTGTAAAGGTTTAGGAAATAAAAATATCTAAAGAGTAAACATTCTTTATACAAGTAAAAATAGATTTAAATTAACGAATAAATCTAGTTCTTTTTAATTTATTTCAACGTTGGCAATAAAAATAAAAAAGTAACTATAACTTAATAGTGGTAGCATTGTATCATTTATATACTATTGTCGATATACTATTATTTGTGATTGACATTAGTCAAAATTAGAAATATTTGTGCTACATATTTTTTAAAGCAATTATTTGTGAAAAATGTCAATTGAAATCGAATCTGCAGAGTAATTATTATTTATTATAATATTTAATTATATACGATAAAATGTTTTGTTAATTGATAAAACTGTTTTTAATATTTCTATATTATTGTTTGATTTTAGTGTAATTCGTTTGATACAACAATATCTTAAAGAATCAAATCTTGTTAAAACATTGCAAACATTACAGGTAAGTATTTATTTTCTTTAGATAATGTGGATCAATTTTGATATGCGAAAAAAATAAAACTAAAATTTTTAGGAAGAAACAGGAGTATCGCTGAATACAGTAGATAGTGTAGATGGTTTTGTAGCAGATATAAATAATGGACATTGGGATACAGTATTAAAAGCAATACAATCATTAAAATTACCAGATAAAAAATTAATTGACCTATATGAACAGGTTTGTCTTTAAACTAAAAAAAATTATGGATGTTACTTTTTATAAATATGAATTTTATATTTATAATAATCCATAGGTTGTCTTAGAATTAATCGAACTAAGAGAATTAGGAGCAGCTAGATCATTACTGAGACAAACGGATCCAATGATCATGATGAAACAACAAGAACCTGAAAGATATATACATCTAGGTATATTAAGTGTATTTAACAATATGAAATATTATTTTTTAAGAATACAATTTTATTTTATTTATACATATTGTTTTAGTATTATATCCTTTTCTTTATTGCAGAAAATTTACTTGCCCGATCATATTTTGATCCACGGGAAGCATATCCTGATGGAAGCACAAAAGAAAAACGAAGAGCATACATAGCTACAGCTCTTGCCGGTGAAGTATCAGTTGTACCATCAAGTAGATTACTTGCATTATTAGGACAAGCATTAAAATGGCAACAACATCAAGGTTTACTTCCACCTGGTACTACAATAGATTTGTTTAGAGGAAAAGCAGCAGTGAGAGATCAAGAAGATGAAAAATACCCTACACAACTTTCAAAACAAATAAAATTTGGTCAAAAATCTCATGTAGAATGCGCACGTTTTTCACCAGATGGTCAATATTTGGTTACTGGTTCTGTTGATGGATTTATTGAAGTATGGAATTTTACAACCGGTAAAATCAGGAAAGATTTAAAATATCAAGCTCAAGATAATTTTATGATGATGGAACAAGCAGTATTATCAATGGCTTTTAGTCGTGATAGTGAAATGTTAGCTGGTGGTGGACAAGATGGTAAAATAAAAGTGTGGAGAGTTCAAAGTGGGCAATGCCTAAGAAGATTTGAAAAAGCACATTCGAAAGGTGTTACGTGTCTTCAATTTAGTAGAGATAACAGTCAAATTTTATCTGCATCATTTGATACTACTATAAGGTATATAAAATTAATAATTGTAATAAAAATTTATTTTTAGCACTATGATTTATTATACTTGTAATATAGGATACACGGACTTAAATCTGGAAAAACTTTGAAGGAATTTCGAGGACATGCTTCTTTTGTAAATGAAGTAGTTTTTGCACCAGACGGACATAATACAATAAGTGCATCGTCAGATGGAACTGTAAAAGTTTGGAGTTTAAAAACAACAGAATGTATAGGTACATATAAGTCTTTAGGAGCTGCGGATTTAACTGTCAATAGCATACATGCTCTTCCTCGAAATCCAGAACATTTTGTTGTGTGTAATCGTTCAAATACAGTTGTAATTATGAATATGCAAGGACAAATAGTGAGATCATTCTCTAGTGGAAAACGAGAAGGAGGTGATTTTGTATGTACTGTTGTAAGTCCACGTGGTGAATTTATTTACTGTGTCGGTGAAGATCTTGTGCTTTATTGTTTTTCTACATCATCAGGAAAACTTGAAAGAACACTCAATGCAAGTATTTTTATTCTATAATTTTAATAATTATAGACACTTTTTTTATTACATTGAATGATATTATTATTTCCACATTACAGATACATGAGAAAGATGTTATAGGTTTAACGCATCATCCACACCAAAATCTTTTATGTTCTTATAGTGAAGACGGTCTTTTAAAATTATGGAAACCGTAAGATTAAATGTATATTAATTAAAATATTTCTTCCTAAATAATCCCAGCGTTTTATTTTGTTATATGATTCTTGTGCATCCTTTAATTCTCAATTTCATAAAATACATAAGACGTTCATTTTTCTAAGGTTAGCTTCATTATGTAAATTTTATACTATGATGCAATAATAAAAATATATACATACAATACAATAGTTTTTATTTTATTGTTTATAATAAAATATTAAATATTCGTCTATTTAATACATGACTCTCAAACTTGAATTGTATCTAATTTTTTTAAATGAATTAGCTAGGAACTAATGTAAAAGCATTTTTCTCAGAAAATTACTTCGTAATATATATTTTAAAAATTATCATTCTTTTTGTAATAAATGCTTTGTTCATAGACATCAATTGTCAAAATATAAAGAAAAACATACTCTTAGATATTTTAAATTTTCGTTCTTTCATATAATAAATTAAAAACAATTTATTCGAGCATATTCGAGGTTGATTAGTTCGTTGATTAATTATTATTAAATTGATCAATTATTGATCATATCTGTATATATATATATATCATATATATATATCGACAATTAAGACCCGATGATAACGAGACCTGACGATGCGACTCCTTGCGAAGAGCAAGGAGAAAACACAAGAGAAATAAGGAGGGTGTCTAGTCAGAATCTTAAAATTGCATGACGACAAGAAAAATGAAATGCAACAGCGATTGAACGGAGGAAATTATATTTTTACATTTACGTTCGTATTATATCATTAACCATTTGTTTAAAAAAGAAATGTAAGTAAAAGTGTCTATAATTTTTGTTATTTATATATTTGTTATATTTGTTATATATTTTTATAACTTATTAATACATTCGAAAGTTAATCAGTTTGAAAGCAAAACTTAACCTGAAATAAAATATAATAAAATTTGTATCTACTAAAGTATTAGTTAGAAATATTAAAGAAAAGAAATCAGAAATAAGAATATAGATATTTTAAACAAATAATTTAAGAAACTAAAATATTTGTTAGTGTATATAGTGTATAATGTATAATATATATATAGCATGATGATAGTACAATGTAGACATTCAAAATGAATAATAAAAATGAGTTCTGTAGACATCGTCACGTAGTATGAAAAATTCATGGATGTATATGGGTGCCGTGGTAATTGGGCTCGAGCAAATAAGCAATTACTATGTTTTGGCTTGGCAAATATTATAATAACGGGCTAGAGGGGTTAACCAGGTTATCTGGAATATGATCATCGGTTCAGGCGTTTTAGAGAGCGCCAAAACCGGCACCAACCTGCTGCTCATTTTTATTTCTCTTTTTAATATAGTTACTCACTCAAAGAAGCTTCGTTAATATCTCCATAAAACTACATTCTAGTACGTGTTATATCTTATAATCGTAAAACTTCATTACTACATTCTAATGTTTTATATGTCATAATCGTAAAATCACCAAGAAAATAAAAAAAGTTTATCTATTTTGTATTAAATATAAATATATCAAATAATTTTTACTCTAATATCCGAACAGAATATTTATTAACAGATATTCTGATTTTTACATGTTTGATATGTTTTTCATAATTACTAAAATATGAGATACAGGACTTTATTTAAAAAAAAAAAAAAACAATATTGAAATATAATGCAAGAAACATTAAAGCATAAAACTTCTACCAAAAACATCAAAATAAAAGCAATAAAAAAAAAACTTTGATGATGCAATGTAATACACAAGTTATTATTTATGCTTTTTAGAAAAAAACATTTTACGTTTATAAAATTTCTAATAAAAATTATGAAGTGGTCATTTTGATCACTTTGATGGCTTTAATGTTAAATATAATTTTTTCGCATACTGAAACAAAATAACTGAACGAAAACGACTAGGATTTACTCACAATATCTTAAACAATAATACTAAAAAAGTTAGATAATCCAATAGTTAAAAAATATAGCTTTTAAATAGCTTTGAAGTAAATTGACAATTTTGCTTAATTTTCACTTAAATACACGTATTAATTTAATACAAAAAAAGCTGGTTGTTCTATTATCCGAAAATTCTATTAACTGAACATTTTTGGTCTCTCTATTAATTCGGATATTGGAGAGTCCACTCTGTAATTACTTTTATTTCAAGTAGATATACATGCATTTATATCAATTTTAGATATTTCGAATCATACAAACTGGGAATTACGACTGATTAATGCGATTTTAATGCCATTCCGGCTTTTCCGCTTATTTTCAGTTTCCTGTCGGCATTTTCGTTTTATTTATCTTAGAAGTGCAATTACTGGTACGGTGGCGATTTTCTTTATAGTTCAGCTATTGTATCACCCTGTGTTTTCGGCATTCTCTAATGTTCCGTGAAATTCTATAATGTTAAATAAGTATACACCTTATTCCCTGCCTGTTTTCTAAAATTCACTTTCCGAATAATACAGAATTTCTTTGCAAAGAAAGAAGCCATGTTACACAATGTACAATAAATTTCACGTAATATATTTCATAAGTGTAATATCTTTGAAACCCGCAGAGGAAGGAACTTCGAACGGTTGCTCTTCCATTGAAAATGAAAGGACATTCGCTCGAATAATTTTACTTCCTTCGTCATGAATTCGTACGAGTTCCTTCAAGCCTTATTATACGCAAAACTAGAGAAACAAAGCACTGGATATTTCATCAATCTGACATTTTAATTCTTATGGTTAATTTCGTGGAAAAATATTGAAATTCATATTTGCTTGAACAAAATCAATCGCCATGCGAATGAATTATGTCGTCCATAATAGTGATGCCTTTGTCGTACAGATATAAACTTGCAGAACGCGAACAAGTTTAATGAGATGGATCAAAGGATCTTTATTTATAATGAAAGAAACCTAATCGAAATATCATGATTCGGTTTGTGAATTCGTTAGTAATTCGTAATTTGTCAATAACTGGATATTATTTGTATTTAGGGAACAAAATCGATCGCCATGCGAATGAATTATGTCGTCCATAATAGTGATGCCTTTGTCGTACAGATATAAACTTGCAGAACGCGAACAAGTTTAATGAGATGGATCAAAGGATCTTTATTTATAATGAAAGAAACCTAATCGAAATATCACGATTCGATTTGTTAATTCGTTAGTAATTCGTAATTTGTTAATAATTGGATATTGTTTGTACTTAGGGTCGAAAAGATTTCTCTCGCTAGCCAACTGGTCCCAGGTGTGTACACTGGGAGCGTGGCAGACGCGTGCTTCTCCCCTCTTTAACCTCTGCCGAACGCTGTTGCTTTTTCATTCTTTCTATAAAAAAAAAAATATATATATATATATACCATAAAGTAATCTAGAATAAATGTATACGCAGTTACTATATACTCAACAAAAAATTTCATGTAGGTATATAATAATTATTCAAGAGAAGTCTTTCTACAAAAATGGCAAATCTTTAAAGTGCCCAAAGCATGAAAAGCATTTATTTGTTGATCAGGTAAATTGAAATTAACTTCTTCGCAGATTATTTTTGTATTATTTGTATTTAAATACTGTTGGGATAGGATGTATGTGTAATATATCTAAAATTTGTTTTAATATAACATTTGATGACCTATAAGTTAATTATGATGACCTATTTGATGACCTATAAGTAAAATTTGTTTTAATATAACAATGACCTATAAGTTAAGTAAACGAAGAATACGAAAGAAAAATATTTATTACTTGTAAAATACAGATATATATTTTATTAAATATAGATAAATAGATCTTTAACATCCAGATAGACATAGGTCTGGAAGATAAAAAGAAAATTTATAATTTTACATATATCTTCCATCTTATTAGTAACTAATGGCTTTTCTAAGAAAATTTATAATTTTACATATAGGTATATATTTGAATGATATCTTCCATCTTATTAGTAACTAATGGCTTTTCTAAGTATCGTTATTGAGGGAAGTAATGAGCCCAAGTTTTAGGCAATTAAGAGGAGAAGAATGTAGAAACTCGTCTTGTAAGATTTGCATTTGAGAAAGGTAGTAATTATTTGCAACGGAATAATGCAATTATCAAATTGACCCTCGCACCCTCACATAATTACTCGCGACTTCAGGATTTAAGTGGATAATCATTGGGAATTGGGGGAACTGTTCGTTGAACGTTGAAATTTGGCAAGCGTCAGAATGTGGGGCGCCAGGTCGTCAATGCGTACCATGTAATTTAAGTTGCATGTAAGTACACATGTATACATCCTCACGTACTGGTGGTAGATTTTAACGGTGGATTTTGAATTTGCTTTGCGCGCATTTTCTCAATAACGTGTTTTCAAATGGAAACTTTCAACTTATTTCGTACATTACATAATAATTACAAATGAAAAAAATATATTTTTTATTTCTACCTACTTTCATTAATATTCAATCATTTCTTGTTTCAAGTATTATATTACATTAATAATAATTAAATGTATATATTAATATAATATTATTATATATTATATCAATAATAATAAATATATAATGTTATTATATTATGTTTATGGTTATATACGAGTATTTAACATACGAGACCTTTAATATTAATTGGCCAAATAAATAAAATATATGGTAAATAATTAAAACATCAGAGATTAATGAAAAAATGAAAATTGACAGCGTGCATGTAGTGGCAGGAACCTAACAGTAGGAGGAAAATGAAATTTTACTCTTAATCAGAGAGCCACTCGATCACACAGGAGGGTGCCATATTGTTATGTTGTAACCATTCTCTCTTCTTCTTTGCTTCTTTCTTCTTCGATAATCTTTTCCTCTGGTTTGGATGAACTGTTGTTTTACGAGGACTCTTTAGCCTCGGCAGAAGGTCCATTGTATCGGTTATTTCAATGCACGGATTGTTTTCAAAAAGGAAGCACGATTGTTTCTTCCTTTCTTTCTTCTAGCTTCCTCCTCTTTGATATTTTGTAATTTACCGACAGTAGCGTATCGAATGTGTAGTAATTACGAGTCTATAAAATTATTGATGATAGTTTCGAAGAGAGAATGCGCAGAATCCTAAATTTCCAATAAAAAGAAAGTTGTAAGATTTTATTTTTGTTTTACTATATCTTACAATTAGCGGGAACAGATCACTAACGATCATTTCTGAAATCATTTCAATTTCTGCATTCTGACAAGTTCTCGAAACGAAACGGTCGGAGATTATTTTCCCGGTGCTCGTAGTACAAATCACTGAAATGCTTCGGGCCACCATCATTTCGAAGTTATTTCCTACGTCGGTCGTTTCAAGGCTTCTGGAAATCAATTTTTCCCCTCTGGCGCCAATTAACCAGAATTTTCTCAACTTCGACGTAGGTCCGTTGGCGCATAGCAGTTTTAGACTTTAGGGAAAGTTAATCGTTCCTTCCGTTTTTCTTTCCCCTCTCTTGACTTTAGCCGTAACATAATTTCCGAATTCACTCTAATGACAAAGCAATCATTCACTGTACCAACGACGTACCACTGTATCAACAATTGCAGTCGTGCATTGATTAAAATGATACATTTCCTTTGGTCTTTATTTCGTAATTGTTTATTTTTATTTTTGAATTCTTGTTCAATG